CAACCAACTAGGGCGCCCCAAAGAGACCGGGTGGACTCAGAACAGCCCATCACCAGGAAGAAGAGAAAGCCTGACTTCTACCTATGGACAGAGACAAAGACGCCAGCCTACGGGAGGTGATGCACAGGGGTGGAGTGGAGTGGGCAGGAGACCTGCCCACCGGCCTGCAGTCACCTTGAGGTGGGGGTGGTGCCCGCTTCTGGTTACACTGGAGCTCCAACTGAGAAGGTGCACACACAGATCCCAAGACTGAACCACAGGTGGGCACAGCTCCACTCCTTCACCTTAACCCTGAGCCTGGCACCCTGAGGTGTGTGTCCTGCCACCCATGGCCACATCTTGAGCCCAGGAACCTTTTTACATCTGTGTCAGGACAAAAGCCCCTTCCCACAGGCTGCTCTTGGACAGTCCTCCAGGCCCCCATGACCTCCAGCCAGGACAGCACACTCAGGCCACGATAAAAGCCACCTCTGAGGACCACCTGGAGGCCTGCGTGACAACGGAAGGTAAAGCCCACCCTCCTCTGAGGAAGAGTCACAATAAGGACTCACACCTGCTTCACAAGTGACGCTGTTACTGCCTGTTTCCAAACGTCATGAAGAGCTCCACTGCTCTCCCCACACACACCAGTCACAAATAAAGCGCAAAGGGAGGAATGTCGCCAAGTCTGGGCAACCGGCACGATCAGGCAGAGTCCACGTGTTTACATTTCATCTCTTCTAATATACTGGGGAGAATCAGAACCAACACTTCCATTTTGTAATTTATAAGAGGTCTCTCTTCTGCAGGATCAATGGCGTTTTAACACCAAAGGTGTCACACCTTGAAGCAGAAAAAGAAGCTGGAACACAAAATTCATGAGAAGTTCCATGTCCACAGACAGTTGCCACGCTACGGTATGGTCTGGCCCAGGACTCCATCACTGACAGAGACCTTCGGATGTTTCCGGGACAGGCCATCTGCTATCATCAACCTGACAGATCACAGGTATATGCAACCCAACCTGTACTCTTCTATAAACGCGTGTGGGAGAAAAGAGGCCCCACATCTTTTCTTACCAGCTTAAGAATGCTGCCCTCTCAGGCCTCTTCAGAAGCCGCCTCACCACCCTGGAGAGCAGTGCAGTGCCATTCAGAGTTGGAAGTAATGTCACTTAATAACTTTGGGGCATCACCTCCGGTAAGTCATCTTGCCCTCTTCTGGCCACAGGAGACAATCACTAAACAGCACCTGCTGTCACCACACCATCAGCTTTGCCACTTGCAGAGAGGGGGACAGGCCGCTCACCTCACCTCCCTTACAGGGCTGCGGGTGGGAAGCAGAAGGTACTGTGAAATGCTGCACAAAGTCATGCAAACTGTCTATCCCTGTAGAATGTTGTTTACAAAGTTTACACAATCCACCTTGCATTAGAAGAAAAAACTTCTAGAACAATTCACACTAGCCTCTGTTGCCCCTTCCGGAATCTGAAGCCTAAATACGGAAGGAGCTTTATGGGGCACAAACATCGGGGTTCCCATCCCACTTTGCCAATGAGGAACTTGCACCCCAGCCAAAGCTAAACAGCATCTCAACCTTCAAATTCCTGGGTAGGAAAATTCTCCTCCTTGTGTATGTCTGTCTGCAGAGGCCACCTACCCTTAGTTCCTGAGGCTTCCTGTTGGAGAGGCTGGCCACTGGGAGACATTGTCACAGCCATCCAAGGCGAGTTCAAGGCCCTCTTCCCCGTGGAGCCTTCTCTGGCTTCTCCATGCTTGGATTACAGGGATGCTCGCCACCCTGAGCGAGGCCTGCCTTGTGCTTGTTATCCAACTTGTCACAAGGATGTGGTACCCGCTCCACCATTTCAGCGGACCTTTGCTCATACCCCAGACTACATCTGTGTTCCTCACAGGTCTACGGAATTCTGCATTAGAATATTCCACGGGTGTACAGCAATCACAAGGGTTTTTTGGTAAAAGGGGACTCAAATGTAGCTCCTCAGTCATAGGTCCAAGAAGGATTCTAAGATTCAATCAATTTTAGCAGGACTTAGAAAGTGTGCCTAATGCTTCTGCTCTAGAGAGAGATGAGAATCAAACCATGCTAGTGAAGCCTGCACTCTGGACAGGAAGACAAAGTCTCAACTTCGGTGAAATGAATGTTGGACACAAATGGGAGCCTAATCACCTGCTGAGGAGGCTGTGTTTGGATGCACTGACTCTGTTTTCTGTGTAGGAGGTAGATACTCTCAATTTCAACCATACTGAAGCAAGATTAAAGCTGGGACAAATAAGCACACTGCATTTCAGAGAGATGTTTCAACACCCTGAGCTGCCACAGGCCACGAGAAGAGTAAGGCTTCAACTGTTGTGAAAAACTTGAGTTGCTTTTCGAAAAGGAGTGTGGAGGATTTACTCTGTTACTGAGTTGGCCGAAATTATCAACTCAGAGCCTGCTGCTATAGAAATTCAAATACTCCAGAGACTAGAATTTGGAGCAGAGAAACAACTTTTCTCTTTTTCTCAAGGAGATGGTCAATAAATGTTATCTTGTTGCTTCCCTCATTTTCAGATATTTGTGGATATTAGGTCAGCTGCCTGACATCAACTTTTTCAAGCAGAAACTAAGTTTGTTGACTATAATTGTACACACATAAAGGTAAGCATTACATGACACAATTCTGTTGCTTCTCTCAGAAGAGGTTTAATTTTAGTGCTGGCTCTTCAACACTGTCCCCGTTTTTTTTTTCCATGAGCATCTTAAATATGTGTCAACTAACTATCCCGAAGTGTAGTTCGTAATTGGGCAAGGCGGAGTGGAGCAGCTGCAGGCCGGCAGTGCCTTGTTGGAGCCACCTCACTCTCACCTGAGCTGAGGTCACACAAGAAGCTGCAGAATTATAGTACCACCATCTCTGCCAGCAACCTATTCTCTGCTCTGACTCTATATGGAGTTTACTCCTGTCAAAACACTCTGAGGGCTCTTGATGGTCACTGACTATGGCAGCATTTAAAGGAGGCATTTTTCCTTATCACTTACATGAAGAGACAGTTTCCCAATTCCACCTACCACACTTGTGTTAGTAGGATGCTAAGCACACCTATCAGTAAGGTCCCCCACAACAAACCACATGAAACATGAATTCCACACCATGTAACAACCATGTTGGGCTTATACAAATGTTTTCTGCATATGCCAAGACACCCAAAACTGAGATCTGTTCCTGTCTCCTGCTTCTGGCTGGCCCCTCTTCCTCCTCTACTTCTAGGAACCCTTTATATTAGAGCCAACACAACACTGGAACCCCTGAGGTCACTGCCCCACCTCATTTACAACAGTGTGACCACCTGTCAGAGTGCCTCCTGATCCCAAAGCTCTCTTAGGAGGCATTAAGGATCAGTGCTAGTATCTCAGCAACCTCTCAAGATTTTCCCAAGGCAAGCAAGCATGTGGAAGTCAAGAAATTACACTCTGACTTGACAAGAGATGCAAAAGTCACCAAGGCCACATTTCTCATGTCTCTTGTTTTATCCTCTAATACTTTAGCCATGGGAATTGCAACAGCACCAGTTACTACAAAATTTCTGGAAGGTTTTATATAGCTCATGCCTACTCCACCCCCAAAGTTATAACAAAATGTAGACATTTGTTAAAATCAATTACCATCCAATCTCAACTGGGCCTGAAACCAGGGTTAAGAGAATTACTTATGATACAGAAACCAGTCTTACAAAGAACCTAACTCCTCAATTTCTATGAAAATTATACAGTTCAATATGATTTATTTCAAAAAAGCCAGGCTAAAGCATACTGATAAGAGTGATTAGCCAAATTCATGTAAAGGAAAAGCAAGAGCCCGTAAAGCGACAGAAACTGAGTTATCTGACCAATTCCAAGATTATTTTTTTCTTCCATCCCCAGCATATTAACAAGGGACTTCAATGGCCACTTCCTGGTCTCCCAGCAAATGCAGGGGCTCACTTCATACCTGGATGCCACAGCATCTTCCTATTGCTCAATCCGCACCAGGCATAGGGGAAAATGACCCCTATTGCCAACCACCCCTTGGAGAAAATATGAAAACACGACGAGTCTTTCCCGACACACACGGGGAGCAGGGGATATCCCTCCGCAAACAGCAGCCACGGTGGCGGACCACCTGAGAAAGAGACACACAGGAGCTAACCCTGGCTGTCACGGTTATAAACCACAAGGCTGGGACCCCCATGTCGGGGGAAGTAAGAGCCGAAGGAGGGCACTAGAGTGTACGGGAGAGAAAACAATCACTCTAATGCACTACCAAAAAGCGGGGCTCTGGTTAGTGAGACGCCAATGGACAGTCAGGCCATGGACAGTCAGGCCCAGAAAGGCACAGGAAGGATCCCACCGCCCCAAGATGTTCTTCCGTAGGTACCGACCCCAAGAGGAGTTTGGCAAAGGCATGCTCACTCGCATAACCGAGGAGGACGCTCCGCACACCCCCAGGACCTGGCTAGGGGCAAAGTAGGCCAGCGGTTCCCTCCGAAGCCAGGAAGGTGTTCCAGCCAGGAGGACTTCCCTGATCCCCCAGAAGCCCGAGACGCGGGTGGCACGGACTTCACGAGTCATACCCCGGACACCAGTTGCTCCACAGCTTTTCTTCCTTCCCACCTCCCGCTGGGAAGGCTTCCCGGGGGTCGTGGGTCCCCAGGGAAGGACGAGGCGGGTGAGCTCCCGTCAGGAGGAGCAAGGGTCGTAGGGCTGGAGTGGAAGAGGAGGGAATGCTCTGGCCCTAGCTCCCGTCTGCTCCCTCCGCCCAGGCCGCACGGAAGCCTCGGCCTCACGTACCGAGCGCCGCCGGGCTGTCCGACCTGCCTCCGGCCCGGGCCTAGGGGGCGACAGGCCGGGATGGCAGCGGCCCTCGGGCGGAGGTGGGCATCGGGCGGATACCCCCGAGCCCGGCGGGCAAGGGTCACTGAGGAGAGGGAGGGTCCCGGGCCCATGCGGCCTCCGTCTCGGCCCGCGCGACGAGTACTTACGTTGCTCTGGGGGTCGATGGCCTGCAGCAGCCGGTCCCTGATCTGCTGCGGAGACGCCGGAGCCGCTGTCATTGCCTGGGCGAGGCGGGGGGGAGCGGCGGGCCAGCGGGCGGGCGGGCTGAGGAGGGGACGCGGGTCACTCACTCGCCGACCTCCGGGAGCGGAGCTTCATGTTCCCCGCGGCGCCGGGGAAGGAGGGGACGCGCGGGGGCGGCGGAAAGGGGAGCCGGGGCCGGGGCTGGGGCCCGGGGCGCCGCCGCCACCAGAGGAGGAGGAGGAGCCACCGGAGCCGCCGCCGCCGCTGCCGCCGCCTCGAGAACCAAACTCCAGTGAGCTGCCCCCGCGCGGAGCACTCTGGGTAACCCGCGCCGCACGCAGCGTCGGCGCCACGCTGAGGTGGTTGGGAGATGGGGCGGGCGGAGACGCCGGGGCTGGGCAGGGCCACGAGCAAGCCCCGCCTCCTACCTCCAGGCATGCGCGCGCAGGCGCGCTGGCATGCGCCGCAGCCCCGCCCCGCCGCGGGAGTCGTTGGGACAGCTGGGCGGGGCAACGGCCGCCGTCTGGAGGCCCCGCCTCCGCCCGGGCCCCGTGGGGCGGAGGCTTCTGACGGGCGGTGCGCGCCGAGTCCTTGAACTCTCGGGCCTGTGGACCGCCGCGGAATGGGAGAGGACCCCTCCGCAGGGCAAAAAGCCTTCCCAGCACTGACGGAGGTGACGGGAGTCACTGCCAAGGTCTCCCGAGCCCGGGGGTCCTCCTCAGCCCCCGATCGGCCTTCCTGGGGGCGAGACAGACACACATTGTGATGCGCACGGAACGGTCATCCGTTGGGTGCCGCCCGCCCCTCCAGGGAGCGCGGGTCCAGGGCAAGGGGTCTGCAGCGCTTCGTGCTCCCGAATCACGAAAACAGGAGCCAGCAAAGCGCCCCTGGGAGGAGCCGACACCCGAGCTGGGGGGCCCCTAAAACCAGCCCCATGGCCCCACCCCACGGCCGCAAACCTGTGCGCCAAGGTTTTTCAGCCTGGGCACCAGTGACATTTGGGGCTGGATCACTCTGTCCTTAAGGGCCCGTCCTGTGCATCGTGGAACGTTCAGCATCATCTCCGGTCTCAATGAGATGCCCGCAGCACCCTCTTCCAGTCATTGCCAGATGTCCCCTGCGGGCAGTACCACCCCCTACTGAGAATCTCGGGTTTAAATTACTCTCCCGCTCAACCTTACTTGGAGATGCTGGAAAACTAAGCGTCTCACTGCCTGAACCAACGTTTCACAAAAGAAGAAATTGAGGCCCATGGTCACCCAGAGTTACAGGTCAACCCCAGAATAGTTAAATGTCAACTATAAGGGCTCTCCTCCTGCCCTCCACTTTAGTGTCCTATTTTGCTGTTGACTCCTCTCTATGGAAGCTCTGTTAGAAATACTGTTACAAGAAGGGGTGAAAGGTAGGCTGAGCAACTATTAGCTGCAGCCTTGAGAGAAGTAACTTTTTCCTTGTTACAGGAAGTCCTAGCTTTAAAACAGGAGAGAGGCAGTGATGAGAAACACATGTGCTCCTTGGCACTCCACTACACCTGTAAGTCTTGCATTTGTCATGCTTCTGGGAAGCATTTTTATTTCCAAAAATGGCTGTTTCTTCACGTGGTTGTGGTTGTTTGCTTCTGCACATGTGAAAAGTTTTACATCACGCTTGTGGGAGAAAATAAACACGGTCAAAATACTTTTCTCCCTCCCAGAGTGAGGTGCTTTGTGTGGCCCAAGTTGGAAACGCCCATTTGGAGGTACTCTCACTTCAGATAAGCAAAATAAACAAGCTCTTCCCTAAGCATATCCCGGTCCTGCTGTTCTTTTAAATTCTAAGTCAGATATGCAAAATCTTATTTTTTTAAATCAAGAATTACATAGAAATAAGCAATTTGTTTTGCATGGGTCAGGTTACTTAAAAATTTGGAAAGCACTCAACTTATCTGCTCTTTTTAAACTACGAAGAAGAAACATTAAGATGACCGTGATCTCTGCAAGGGCACTGACTCCACCCAGGGTCCCCAGAAGGCAGAGGAATGCTTACTAAATATCTGTGAATTAAGTGAATGAACGTCTTATCAGATACAGGGACACACCCCCAGACAAACAGTTCAGTTCCTAATATCTGGCACATAGAGGGGTCAACAAGTATTTAATGAATGAAAGAAATATGAAATATAAATTATATACACATGAGGATACACACACAAAGATATCGATATAGTTTTATTCTACATTTAATATATGCAAAAGGATGCTTGTAATGGTAAAGATTAAACAAGACAGCCACTGAATAGTCTTGAAAATGTAAGCAGCATCTCTTAGGCCCAGGATAGTTCTGCAGTTCACCTTGCAGACTTTCTGCTTCCAGGAAGATACTTGAAATGGCTCCTTATCAGTTTACACAAAGGTGGGCGTGAGGTAAATCCTCTTGCTGTAATGGTTCTTCCTCAGCAAGTCTCTTAAATTCACCGGCCCCACTGGCCTGAGAAGACAAGAACTTTTGTACATGGAACGAAAAGGCTTGAAAAGACTGCCTCGCCTCTTAGCAAAGAGGCGGGGAGAAGTGGCTCAGAACCCACGACTTGCTCCTGCTGTGGGAAGTGGAGGGAAGGTGTTCTCAGGAGCCTGGGCACAGAGTAGCCTCAGCCAAGCTGGACAGTGAGGCGGGGGGCTCATTCCCTCCTGACGAACTGCAGCGCCCAAGCCAGACAAGCAAGAGCATCACAGGAGGAGGCCGGGCGCAGGCCAGTTCCCACCCCTGCACAGGACCGGTCTTCAACAGTGACACCACGTGGTGGCAAGAACAGCAGCGGGACGGCACTGGGCAGCAGGGGCGCTGGGTCTAAGGCCGGAAGTGAAAAGCAGCTGTGGCCATTTAGCCACATAAACCCCTGGGAGTTGGACAATTTAAAGGAGAGGAAGTTACTGGATTTACCCCAGTAAGGTACGTGGGGGGCTCCAAGTGATTAACAGGGAAGACAAATGTGAGCAAATCCACCACCCCACTTCAGCCGGTATGTTTGCTGAGCTTAGTAGGCTGATGGGCAGGGCATTTAAAAAAAACCTCTCGTATATTAACTCATTCAACCATATCAATGACCTCAGAAGTACGCAGAAATGGGTTTCAGAGTTCTGCGGGGCTTTCAGCAAGTCCTGTTTACGCAATGTGAAACCAATTCCAATCGGTTTTGAACAGCCACTGAAATGTTAGGAGGGGCTTAAAGACAGACAAGAGAATTCAATTTGTATCACGCCTCTGAGTCAGGGGAATACAAAGATGCACATAGCCTGCTCTTGAGGCTCTCATTTGGAAGTCAAGCACTAGAAACGGACTGGGAGCCATCAATACAATACGTAAATTGTACTCTGTGAGCAAAGTGCAGCAGGAACACCAAAGAGAAGAAAAGCCATTCTGGACAGGAGTACCGGGAAAGATGTTTAACAAGGAGGCACGTAGCAACTGAGAGCTTTTCCATATGTTCATATCCTCTGATACCGTGTTTTACAACGTCTTAAGAGATTTACAGAAAGAAACAACCAGTTGTAGACAAACATGTATGGACAAGGAAGTTCAGGACAGCATCATTTGTAAGGGCAAAAGACTGGAAGCAACCTGTGTGTCCAGTTAATAGGGGAGTATAAATAAACTGGAGGTCGTGAAAAAGGGAGGGTTATGGACTGGGAGGGAGTCTTGCCTTATGGGTAATGTGCAACCTGTAGAATTTCACCAAGCTGTACATAACTGTAGACTAAACTTCAAAAATAAATAAAAGATAAAGATAGAGACAGACATTCTAGCCATTAGAAACCAGTATTGCATAACATGGAAAAAAGCTAACTTAATAAAATAGTGACAAAATGCATATAGCATGTTAACTATATACATTGCAATCTTAATTTTAGTTTTATAAGATATATATACTTATGCACATGATGCACAGAAAAAATAATGGAAGGAAAGAAACCAAAATATTTACAGTACGTCTTCTCTGATGGTAGAGTGACAGGGGATTTTTCTTCTGACCCTTTTGCCCACAGTTCCACATTTTCTAGAATAAACATGTGGTGCCTTCCAGTCATTTTGTCCAGTCCTGGAGTTACTGTGACCTCCAGTTTTCACTTTCTGACTCAGATACAGCTTATCTGAAGTGTGCCTATAATCCCCAAATTTCTGAAGACGGATTTGCTATCAGACCAACCGATGGGCCAATAGACTGATGGATGTCAATCTAAGTCCAGAGAGTCTGTGCTTTCCCTACTGCCCAGGTTTGCATTATTTTTGGTAATAGTAACTACAAGGGATAACATTTACAGAGCATGTGTTACGTGTCAGGTTCTGTGTTCAGGGCTTCACATGACGACCCTTATGAAAAGTCAGGCCCTTGTGTTGGCACCTCTCCTTGGCTCTGAGGAGGGCTTAGAATTTGCTGTAGCCCAGAGAATGCAGCAGAAGCCTCATTGCCTGGTCGAATCTAAAGCTTTACGAAGGCCTGGCAGATACCATCCAACCCAGCAATTCCATTCCTTCAAATCCCCCCAAAACTCTCACACAAATTCATACAGGTAAATGCCCACAGCAACACTGTTCTCAACAGGTGCAAGGTACAAGTACCAAGTGCCCATCAAGGCTGAATGAACGAAATGCACATCCACACAGAACATGACTCAGCCATAAAGAACAAAGCCCTGACACACACTACAATGTGGCTGGACCTCGAAACCATCATGCTGAGAGAAGCCAGACACAAAAGGACACATATTCTGTGATTCCATTTATATGAAACATCCAGAACAGGTAAAGCCCAGAGACAGAAAACAGACTGGTGGCGGCTAGGGGCAGGGGGAGGGGAGAATGGGGAGTGAGTGTTCATGGTGAGGTGGCAGGTATGAGAGTCAAAAAGCCCCCTCAGGGCTCCAGGACAGCCCCACTGTGCCTGTCCAATTTCCTGCCCACAGACTAAATAGGTGTTTTAAGCCATTTAGTACAGGGGCCATTTGTTACGCAGCACTAGCTGAGACAGAGTTGCTACTGTAATCCTCAAATGTCTACTCAAAGAGGGGCCTGAGGCTGAAGAGCAGGGAGGCTTGCCATGGCCACTTAGCCCCTGTGCTGTAGTTGGGAGTCTAGGCCGGATCTTTCTGATTCCAAAGTGCTGCTCTCCCACCTTCAAAGCTCCTTAATGCCTGTACCCCTCCTACCCTGGGTCTGTGGCCACGTGTCCCCTGTGTTCCAGTCCTTTTCTGAATCAGGCCCTGCTCCCAAATTCTCTCCTGTTGACGTTCTCTCCTCCAGTC